GCCTCGAAATCCCCCGCAGACTTGGGGTGCACGGGCGAGGGGGCCGGGGTCGCGGGGAGCAGTCGCCCTGCTGGAGGGGCGCTCGCCTCTGCACTGGCTGTGACGAGGTGGGCGAAAGGGACGCGCCAGAGCGCTCAAAACCGCCAAAGGAAACCCCAAGGTTCTCCCGCAAAAGGTCGCCACAAGAGGCTGGGGTGACTGCAGCTGAAGGAGCCCGCGCGGCCCGGGAAGGGCACTTTCCTCCCTCATCACTCCACTGCCAGGCTCCGGTGGGAGGGCTGCAGCCCTCCAGGAGGCGCAAGGCTTTCTCCCCAGAAAAGGGGGCTGGGGGCCTCCCTGGGGGCGCAAAGGGTTAAGCAGCAGCCCGATGAAGCGACATGGAGATCCCTGGCCTCTGCAGCAGGAGTTCGATCCTGGGCCAGGGAGGGACCCACATGGCACATGGTTCAGCCGACCTGTCCTGTCTCCCCGCTGCTCCCCTCAGCAGTGGACTTCATCGACCTGCCTGCTCTGCTCCCCACTCTGTCTCTGGTGAATCCTCTCACATATACACCCCAACCCCTGGCCTGCACCCTAACTCTTGTGTCCATGAATAAATAAATCTTTAAAAATAAATCTGTAAAACCAATAAGAGGGCCCTCCCTGGTGGTGCAAAGGGTTAACACCCAGCACTATGAGGCTGTCTTCAGCCACCGCAGCACAAGATAGATTCCTCACCAGAGAGTGACCTCCAGGGTGCAGCAAACCTCTCCTGTCTCCCTGCTGCTCCCCTCAGCTGTGTTTTTCAGTCAACCTGCCTGTTTCGCTCCCCATTCTGTCTCTGGTGAATCCTCCCATCCCCTGCACCTCTGCTCTGCACCCCAGTTCTGTATGCATATATAAATCAATCTTGTCTTGAAAAAGAAAAGGGGTTGGGGGTGCCCCCTCCTCTATTGTAGACCAGAGGGCAAATCAGGGAATCAGTGAATGGAAGTTCTCTCAGCCCAAAAAGGGAGAAGGTGGGAAGAAAAAAAATAGATATTTTAATAATTGGTATCATTTATAAAGGGTGACTCAGGGGTCTGTTCAGAGCTTAGCAATTCAACACAACACGTGTTTGTTTTCTTTTGTTTTTTTGTTTTTTTAAAGATTTATTTATTTGTACATACAGAACTGGGGTACAGGCCAGAGGCTCAGGGGCGGTGAGAGGATTCACCAGAGACAGAGTGGGAGCAGAACAGGCAGATCGATGAAGTACACTGCTGAGGGGAGCAGTGGGCGGGTCAGGAGAGGTCTGCTGCGCCATGTGGTTACCTCCGGGGCAGGCGGGAATCGAACTCATGCGGAAGTGGCTTTAGTTTCTCAGTGCTGTGCTTTAACCCGCTGAGCCACCAGGGAGGGCCACAACATGTGTTTTAAGAAGGAAACACGTGTAGGAAGACCATTCACACACTGCCCCCCCCCAAGATATAAACATAAAAACCCTCTCTTGCTTTCCAATAATCTATGCCCCTCTTTGTCTTCAATATCTTGTTTCTCACAAAAAATATTGCTTTTTCCTGAAGAGAAGAACTGGAGACCAGATTATGAGTAATGAGAGGGAAACCTACCTATCCCCAGAGACCTTTAATCATTTTTTGAGTTTCTATCACATGGAAGTTAAATTTACATTTCTTAATTAAAACTTACCTCTTACAGGAAGTCTACCTGGATTAACGGATTCTTTTCCTTTTGTTAAGTCTCCTTCACACTTCTGTACTTAGTTTATAGAATCACACAACTGGCTTAAGTTGCAGGCCTTGGTTGCTCATTTCACCTATTTGACATGCAAGTGTGTTTGGCAGTTCGAAATGGATTTTCAACTTGCTAGCCAGGTTTCCCCCCTCCACCCCCCAGTGCGGGACTGTACAGTTTTTGTTATAATGAAATGGGATTTTGAGCGCTCTGAAGGCATTAAATTTAATGCCTTTACATTTAATTACTGGGTCCTCCCTGGTGGCCCAGCAGGTTAAAGCACAGCACTGTGAAGCTACTTGCAGCTTCTGCTGCACGAGTTCGCTCCCAGCCAGCAAGTGATCCACAGGGTGCTGCAGACCTCTCCTGTCTCCCTGCTGCTCCCCTCAGCAGTGGACTTCATCAATCTGTCTCCACTGTGATCTCCACTCTGTCTCTGGGGAATCCTCTCACCCCCACCCCCCTGGCCTACACCCCAGTTCTATATGCACAAATAAATAAATCTCTTAAAAAATAAACACTAAATTTAATTATTCTCTGTATTTGTGTTGAACAGTACATGGGAACAACCACCTAAGATATAATGATGATGATGATGATGGTGATACGGCTGTAGAGTGGACGCTGAAGGGGCTGTGATCAGCTAGATGAGGGTGTTGAGCGTGCTGACTGGGCTCCTGGGTGTATTGAACCTTCCAGGAAGGGCTAAGCTAGGCAGTGGCCTACAGGGTAGGGAGGAGGGACTTATGTGGCCTTCACTGCCCAAAATAGCTGCTGGTAACCTGAGGAGTGGGAGGCAGGGGTTGGGCTGGGGCCACGTGCCTGGCTCTGATGCAGTGATGGAGGGAAGGTGCTAGCAGGTTCTCCGGGCAGCTGAGAGGAGGAAGGGCTACAAGAGTTTGGGTTTTGTTTCTTTTTTTCAGTTATCATTCAAAGCCAGAAAGAGGATTTCCCAAGGGGGAAAAAAAGAACATGATGTAGGCAACACAGATATTACCGCGGTCAGGAAGATGCACAGGGCTGGAAGAGCAGCTAGGCCGTCGTATATAGATGTGCCTCCTGGGTCGGATAACTGGCTGTATACACTTTTTAAAGATTTATTTATGCATAGAAGAATTGAGGTGCAGGCCAGAAGTGTGGGACAGGGAGGGTCGGGAGGTGGTAGGATTCACTAGAGAAGAGCAGGGGGCAGAACAGGCAGATCCACTGAAAGGCACTGCCGAGGGGAGCAGGGAGACAGGAGACATCTGCTGCGCCCTGGGGGTCCCTTCCTGGCCTGAGAGCGAACTCACACTGCAGTGGCTGCAGACGGCTTCACAGAGCTGAGACGGAGCCCCGTGAGCCACCAGGGAGGCCCAAGAAGGCACTTTTTAAATTATGTTATTCTTATTGAGAAAATGTTGGTTTATGACACTGCATATGTTTTTAGAATATGGCTTCACATCTCCTTAAATTTATATTACTATACCTCACTGAACTCCACCATGGGCCACTGGGCCCCTCACACGGAGAAAGGCATTTCACTCCTTACTTACAGCACAGACATTCCGTGCTGTTAATGGTAAGGATGGAACCCGGGTCTAGGTGACCACCAAGCCCATTTTGAAAAACTGTTCTACCGCCACAGTAGCTGGAACTAGTAACTAGTTCGGTAAAGATTTATCCGCAGAATGAATACGCTTTGTCATCTTTCCTTTTGTCTCTTTTCTTCCAGCTACAAGGGGAGCTCACTTCTTTTTCTCTCCTTTCTCCTCAGGACCTCAGGGACTGATGTCACCCCACCTCCACTTCCAAGGAATATTATCACCTTCCTGTTTGAAGAAGAGTCTGAGCTGCTCTCAGAACACACGTGACCTTGAGTGACAGATTTACTCTCCGCAACCGCACCCTCTTGTCCAGCCCCCCGCTCTGACTAAGGGCTCACACATGCCAACAGCTGCTTAGAGTGGAGTAAGGATCTGGCTGGAAGTGGTTGCCATTAACTGGGGTACATAACTGAACTGTGACCTCATTAATACTCGGCCTTCACTGCGTTAACTGCTGTAGAATCTCCAAGGGACAATGGGCCCCTCGAGCCAATTTATTGTTCCCTACTAATTAATTAGCTAATTACTCTCATTTAAACTTTTCCTAGTTCATGCCTGGTACTTGACGCAAACTGACTCTGCCATTTCCCATTTATTCCGCATCAGTCATTTCCTTCAAGTACTAACTCAAAACATTCCTCTTCCAAGAAGACCCTCTTGACTGAATCCATTCCTCAGCGTCACTCTGAACACACCCTGACATCGTAAGTGTAACGTGTCCCGTCTCCTCCAGTTATTTCACGGCAGACATGTGTTCTTACTAAGTTATAAGTTCATCAGAAGTAGATGCCATTAGTGATGTTTCTTTTCCAAACCAGTGAGCACAGGGCTGCATATCACTGTACACAGTTGTCCTCGGGCATTATTTGTTAGGACAAAAACTGAGGCTTAGAGACAGGTAGGTGTCTGCCTAGAGTTAGTCAAATATAAATTCAGGCCTCTCTGGGGATGCAGGTGTTAAAGTCTCAGCACTATGAAGCTCTCTGCAGGCACTGCAGCACAAGTTCAATCCCACCTGTGGCCTGTACCCCAGTTCTGTGTGCATAAATAAATAAATCCAAGACTAAGTTAATAAATGAAATATTTATTTATGCACACAAGAACTAGGATAAGGCCAGAGGTGCAGCAAGATGAGAGGATTCACCTGAGACAGAGTGGGGAGCAGAACAGGCGAACTTACTGAAACACACAGCTGAGGGGAGCAGCGGGAGACGGGGAGTCTGCTGTGCCATGAGTTCACTCCCTGGCCAAGGATCAGACTCAGCCCACAGTGGCTGGTGATAGCTTGAGAGTGTCACCTTGTAACCCCTGCACCACCAAGGCGGGCCTGGAACTTCTGGCCTTTCCTTGTGCCCTGAGATGTGATCCCCGACAGCTCCCTGTGCTTAGTGACCCACTGGGTGTCAGGATTTCTTCTGATAGCTTCATGGACTGGTTTGGTGAGGATAACCTCAAAAACTTGGTTTGTGGACTCTTCATCCACCCAGTAAGAATGTCGGCCTCCGAGAGCCTACAGTGGCATCTAGCTTGCTCCTCAGCAACAGATTGAAGGCTGCTAGCAAACTCCAGCTGATTAACAAACACCGTGCTAGACAGGGCTGCCGCTGGCTGTGCCCTTTGGGACTGCACTGCTTGGCCACCGTGGTGCACACGAATCTCATATAACAAAACCTTGCTTAGCTCGGATCCAGGTCTGCTTTATCCGGACAGGTGGGGCACCCGTGGAGGGCTGACACTTAGGTGCTGCCAGCAGCGCACCCTGAGAAGAAAGCAAAACCCAGCATTCTGCTGCTTCCTCCTCAGCACCTGCCCGATGTACATGTTTGCGCCCATTTCGGCTTACCTGACGGAAAGGCCGTCTCAACCTTTCTAGAGTCCGTATGCAGTGGGAGTCCCAAGCTGAAGCCAGTGTCAAGGATTGGGGGGCTAGGGACTGACCCCTGCGTCCAGGCAAATGGGTCCCTTCACGTCAAGCAGATCCCTAAAGCAACAAAGTCTCTCATTATTTTATTCTCTCCAACCCTCACACCCACACAACACGATTCAAAGGTTTCCTGAATGTGGAATATTTGACTAAAGATGTACAAAAACAAACAGAAAACAGAGGAGGGGTTTGCAGTGTAACAGCATAAACATCTCTAAACACAACAGCAGGCACCGCCACGCCACTCCCGGGACTTCCCGCCTTCCTCCGCGCCCCTGTGGGAGAATCTCTGACTCTTGCTCCCTTCTAGGGGTCTCAGGCAGCTGACTCCCCCTCCTTCCCCCTTTTATCAGAGCATCTCCGGCTTCCTTGTCCTCGTGTTCCTGCCCTGAAGTCTCATCCTTAGTCAGGTCACACTTTTCAGACAAAGATGAAGCTCTGCCCGACAGAGTAAGCCTGGGTCTTCCCACCCCAACTTCTGGCTCTCTCTCTCTTTTTAAAGATTTATTTGTGCACACAAGAACTGGGGTGTAGGCCAGAGGTGTGGGGGTGAGAGGATTCCCCAGAGACAGAGTGGGGAGCAGAAGAGGGGGATCCACTGATTCCCACTGCTGAGGGGGCAGCGGGGGACAGGAGGGGTCTGCTGTGCCCTGGGGTCCCTCCCTGGCCGGGGATCCACCGGGTGCTATGGCGGCTGCGGACAGCTCCATAGTGCGGCGCTTTAACCCACCGGGGAGGCCCCCCAACTTCTCTCTTTAAGAACTAAACGAAAACTACGCGGAGCCTCTTGCTCTCCCTTGCTCAAGGTGCAAAGCCGCGCACGAGGTGCCGGGCCGCCCCGCGGACTCCTGCCCGGCGGAACGGGGGGCGCTGCGGCCCGGGGGCCTGGAGAGCCCCCG